CACGCCGTATAAGTCGTGTATACAGTCGTCGTTGTCGTCGTCGTCGTCGTACGTGTGTATATGTATGTATGTATATGTGTAATATGAGTTCTCTACGCGGTAAAAACACACCACAGAACGAAGCAATGGCAACGACAAGAGAACGAAAAAAAACATCGATTGAAATTTGAATTTGAAAATTGAGCCATTCAACTGACTTGGTTGGATGTAATGTTATTTATTTATACCGAATTGAAAAGCGTTACACACTATTTTGATTGAAAAATCAAACCAATTTGATAATGACTGTTTTTTCACCAACAAATACGTACATAATTTGCATCATGCACTTCTCTTCTCCGCTCATTATATATGTATTGTACGTATGTGTGCGCGTATTCCAATGAGAATTACATATCAGTACTACATTCTAGTCGTAAATTGACAATAGATCGAAGATGATGCGTGCCAAGAGCAAAAAAGGCGACGACAAAAAAACTATGAATCCGATTTATAGTTTTTTCCCGAAATCGAAAAGTGGCGTGGAAATCCCTGAAAATTCGAACGAATTTTACACTCAGTTTTTGCCAAAAATTACAAAAGAAAGTGCCGATGTTAATTCGGATCATCTTAGTTCAGTTGAAATCGAAAAGTTAAAAGAAAAATTAAGCCAACTCCAAATTGAAAACGCGAAATTACGCACAGAAAATCAAAAATTGCGTAACGACATGAATGGATTACTCAAAGTGCACAAGGAGACGTGTCGACTCTACGTTAACAAAGAGATAAAGGTCAATGTTCTTGAGAAAAAAAAATTTCCCCAAGACAGTCGTCTCTTATACGAATCTTTTGAAGATGAATTTGGCAAAGAGGTTATTATTAAATTGCGCAAATTGCAAAATAGTATTAGCAGTGACTCCACTCTAATTTTGAATTGCGTTAAAAGTCTCTTTCGAAACACCGAAGAACTCAAATCGATGTCTGCATGTGGACAAAACAAAAATGTGCAAATGCCACGAGAAAAACGAGAAAAGCTTGATGCTATTTTTTTGGAACGATTATCAAGCATTGAAATGAAGGATGACGAGAGAAATATGCGCTATCACCGTTTAAACCGGCTCATTAACACAGCCATTGGAAATATTTTAAAAGCGCAGGTAGCCACCACTATTTCTATCACAAAGGCTTCTTCAATTCATTTATGCATTTCGAAACAATTTAATTTTTGATTTAGAAGGGCAAAGAAATAAGCAAAACCAAGAATACTGAAATCAATGCAAGCATTCATAACGAAAAACCAGCCAATGAGGTGAGAATTGGTTTCTCTTCTATAATTTTCAGAAATATATTCAAAATGATATATTTGAACAAAATGAAATCATGAATAGCCGTAAATTAAAAGAAATATTTTATTATGGTTTTGCAAGGTCAATGATGAAGCAAAATATGCCAAATCATCGCAGTCGAATGCAACAGCAATCTTTGTCGACGTGAGTAAACAGTTTCATTTCTACGAATTGAATATGGCGTTTACATAACGATTTGTTTACATTTTTCTCAATAGAATATTGCCGATACCAAGACCGAAAATTCCGTTGTTCATCAACATGTCATGAGAATGGAACCGCCACCTCTTGTGCCGATCGCCAGAAAACTTACATTTGATGAATTTTAGCTCAAACTGAAATGCAATCATTGCAATGTGTGATTTTAAGCGCCAATTTCAAAACGAAACTCAACACCACAAATTTGAATAAAGTTGACAGAAATGAAACCGAGTATGCTGTGTATTTTTCTCTGCTTTGTGCGATATTCGTCATTCTGGAATACAACTTTTTCGATGTGTTCATGCGCGAACGAAACATTTATATATACACTTGACCGCTTATTTCTTCCGCATTCACTGTCACTTTATATCTATTTCATTCTATCTCGCAGACAATCGAATTTAAATACATTTCGCCGTTTTATTCTTTCACATTCGTTCTTTCTTTCTTTCCATTCTATCCATTCTAACTCTCGGTCAGTCATATACATTTGAGTATTCGCGTGTTCGTAGATGATACAGCCGAGCGAAATACTAATACACACGCATTATTCCAGTATATTCGGCGAGCATACGTCGTACTTCGCAAGCGTAATGCTCTCGAACGATGAGTGTACGTATAAACACTCAAAACAGAAGCGCGGAACCACACCAATACCATTGCATCACACTCTAACGACAACAATATATTGTTCCCGTTTCATGTTAGCGTTTCGATTGAAGAATGTGTGCGTAAAATGTATTTGTGCTACTAGAACGACGTACAACGGTATTGGTTTGGCTCCGCGTCTCTGTTGAGAGTATACACATATCGTTTGAGCGTGTTACGCTTGCGAAGTATGTAGCAAGATATGTGTTCGCAAAATATACTGGAATCATGCATGTGTATAGGTGTTTGTCTTAGATCGGATTGAAATCGAATGGAAATTTTCAACCGAAAATAGTGGTTTTTTTTTGGATCCGTCTCAATATTCATCATCTTTTTAATGATTGGATTGAACGGTTTTTGTTACCAATTTTAAGAGTGAAGAGAATAAGAGTAGCGAACAGTTTCATGTCTCATTTTCAATCCTTGAAATATTCGCTAAAAACATTGCTCCGGTTCACAAACAATGATCCACTGACGATGTGTGTCAAAGTGTGTTTACTTTTTTAAATAACGAAAATAGTCTGATTCTGAAATTGAAAATGATCAATTGCTTGAAATAGCTCGCACGGTCAGTTCATTTGCCTTATGAATAATGAGCTCTCTTGCCAGACGATAAAATACGATAAGATTTTGTTTTTATTTAGTTCTCTCATGTCTTCTTTTGGTTTTTAATATTTGATTGCTATTTCTGTTCCAAAAAGTATTTTATTTCTCAACAAACTAAAGAGTTCTAATTTGTATATAAAATGTGCGCAGTATGTAACACAAAAATTGTAAGCAAACCTTCTTCATCGACAGCCAAAACGCAACACAAATCCCCGCATGAAAATAAAATCGGAAAGTAAAAACACCGTGATTTAGTTTATCAATTTCGATCAATTAAAAGTGTACATTTATTTATTTTCATAAATTCGAGATTGATGTTTTTACTTGTTTATTCATGGCAACTTTTTGTACTTTCATCACTTAAAATAACAAAATGAATATCAATCAATTTGTGCGTTGTCCACGAAATTTTGGAATTCAGAACACACAACGTCGAGCTCGCCGTTTGCTCTCCATTCTTCGATTTGATTTGCGGCCCAATTTTCGTCGAATGTTATGCCAAGATCGGTAGCACTCACATTTCGCATTTCGGTATCGTCACTACTTTCTTGCTTATTGCGAAGCTCAGCCTCCAACGCCCCAACGTGGATTTGCAAACTTCGAACACGAACATTCAGCCGTGAAATTTCATCGTTTTGTTCTGCAATTTTTTTCGTTTTTGGTGTTGCTTCTTGCTCTTCAACAAATATGACCGATGTGTCATCATCTTCCGAGTCCACCAAAGACACAACCAAATCATTTGTAGCCGATGCACCCCTTTCACTTTGTTCAACTTCGATTGTTGATGGCATTGAATTGTCGGTTGAATCAATCAAACGATTTCGATATGCAGTCATGTCGACCAAGATGTCGTTCAGTTCGACACGACATTCCCGACTCAGTCGGATATTCACGGTGCGTTCTAGAAAAAAATCAAACCAAAATTTGAATTTTTTTCGTATGGTTTAATTTTGCAATGCAAAATTCTCGAAAGTCTTAACACAAACCTGGTTCACGAATTTCAACACGATTTTTAACACGACGAGAACGACGAGGATCCATGGCTACTTTGTATATTTTTCGCAATGATAATCACTTAAGAGGAAGAAAACGATGCGACTGTCCACTCAAAGCAATCGATTGAAAAGAATCGGTCACTTTGATTTACTCATAATTCACGGAAACACTTGTACCGTACTTCCGCATAAACGTTTGCTTGTTTGCTTGTATGCGTTTCGGTTGGGATATGCAGAACAAACCCGAAAAACGCTAAAGCGGTATCAAGTAATGAGCATTGAAAAGCTTTAAGAAAATTAATTTTATGTCCACTTTAAAAATGTAGCAAATTATTTTTTCTATTCTCATTGTCTATTGGATTTCTAATAAGTATTTCAAACTGCCTTTTCTCTCTTTGTTTGTTCGTGGTATATTTATCATTACAACATATATATTTTTCGGGTGTCACAACTGATTTCTCGGTATCTTCGGAACGGCCACTCATTGTTCTTTTTCCTTTCGCTTCTCTGTCATTGCGGTGAAATATAGTTGCCATGTTGGACTAATTTTACCGGATTTTCGGAACACTTGTTTATCCAACTATACACTCTGTGCATAGCGAATAACACAGTACAGCTATACGGCAGTCATACATTGGCAGTTTTATTTTTGTACACATTTCCTTATAAAGAGTCAAATATTATCGTAACCAAAAGAAAATTTAAATCAAAATGAATAAGTCCTCGTCATTTGAAATTTCAAGTGAAACATTAGAAAAATCATATCAAGAACACGATGATTCAAATTCTGAAGAGTTGAACGAATTATTTTCCAGTGAGATCGCTTGTTGTTTAATAAGTGACATCAAGAACCCAGTGAAAAAAAAGGTCAATGAACTGACACAATTACAGGCCAAATGCAATCTCAGTACCAAAACATTGCAACGAATTATACCAGTTTTGAACAGTACTCCAGGTGTATCCATTGAAATTCCAAAAGATAAACGATATTTAAAAACAAACACTGAAAAATTATTTGAGCCTCTATACTATGCAAAGTGTTCGTTTTGTGGTGGAGTTAATTTGTGTAATGAACTATGCAATAAGTGCAAGAAAATTGTTCCTAAAAAACGAGATAATTTTTTCGTTTATTTACCAATAGAACCGCAAATTAAACGATTTTTAATAAACAATTTAAAAGAAATAAGCGAGTATTTGAATCGCGAAAGAAGTGCACTTTTTACAGACATCGATGATGGTTTTGTTTTGAAATCACTGGACCAGCATGAGCAGCGAAAACTTCTTTCTTTTGTGTTAAATATTGACGGTGGAAATATCGTAGAGAAAACAAAAAAAAGTCTATGGCCGATTATGTTATACCAAAATTATTTGCCGCCCAAAATAAGATTTTTGCCTCAGAATATAATAGTTGCTGGTTTGTTTTATGACGCTGGCAAGCCAGATCCATTCGAGTTTTTGTTTCCATTGCTACGAGATATGAAAAGGCTCTTCCATGAAGGAATCACATTGATTTATAATGGCACAAAGTTTGACTTTCAACCAATTTTACTTCATTGTTGTTGTGATTTACCAGCACGTGCTACAATCCAAAATTTCAAACTATATTCGGGAACTGATGCCTGTCCATATTGTTTCCATTCTGGATGTTCAAACAAAGAGAATGGTCGGATCCGAATCAGATACCTCAAACAAAGTGAAGTGTCAACATTGAAGAGTCATGACCAGTGTTGTGGATTTATTGAATTAGTTTTAAGTTCTTTCAATGTACTC